CGCGGGGTCGCCGCGGGGGGGCCGGGGCCGCCACGGGGTCACGTGGGCGGTAGGCGGGGGCCCCGGCCCTCCCGCGGCGCCTCGAGTGGGCTCCCCGTGGGTGACCCCCTGCAGGGGGTGGGGGCGTACTGGGGGTCAGCGAGAGCGACCCCGGGGTGTGCAGGGGCCCGGAGATCCGGGACTCACTTTGGGACCCCCTCTGCCCCAGTACACACGAGGGTACGTTCCACTCTCCTGGAGGCAGAGTCAACCTCTCCGGGCGAGGGTCTGTCTTCGCTTTCTCCGCGTCAAGCAAAGGGCCATGTTCGCCCCTAACCCAATCCCATTTCTGTCCCCCCTCTAGAAAGAAGGAACTTGGGGGGTGGGATTCTTTCTCTTGAGTCTGGAAAGTAGAGAAGGATCCCTTTGGCGGCCGGAGTGGCTGAGCCTTTGGGCAAAATGAGGAAGGGGAGCACAGGGTCTGGCTCTTTGATGCTTTGGGGTGGCTTGAAAGCATGGTCTTTCTCTATGGGAAAGCCGGGAGGGTCCCACCCGGCGTTTTTGAGGGGGGTTGACAACAGGGAAGTGTCACATGCTGGTGTGACTGACCTCCCCAGCTTCATTCGCAGCTTCCCCAGGGCCTGGATAGGTGGGGGCCGGTAGCATGAAAGAACTTTGCCGTCCTTTCAGGAAGCAGACCCGCTTAGGCCCTTAGAGAGCACTCGGGCTTGTCCCAATGCCTCCGGGGCTGGGGACTGGCTCCTCCCCAGGTGGGAGGTCCCGTTAGGTAAACGCCTGCGTTCTTGCCCAGTGTGGTCTCTGGCTTTCTCACCTCTGGAGTGGGGTATGTTCTAACATGCATTTGACCTGGTTCCACACCGGACTGTCTTGATTCTGAGGCCATTTTAACTGGGTGAGTTGGTGTTCTCAGTTGGAGTGGTGTAAAGCTCCAAGCCCCATATGGGTATCCCAAGAGCTTTGGCTCAAGGTAAGTGTTAAGAAAAATTTTGAGAAAGGTGGAAAGATAGATCCTTAGCTCAGGTCTCTTTTGGGTTTCTAAACCACAGACACACTCTGGTCTTAAGTTTGTTGGATTGGGGTTTGTTTGAAGTTGCTCCTCGTGTGTCTATAAAATGTAACGTGTTCCAAAAAGGTCTTTTGTTTTGGTCAAATGAGGATTTCGGATGCCTTTAAACGCTTCCTTGAGATTTGTTCAATTAAATTTATGTAAAGATTTTTGAGGGTGAGGGAGATAAAGAAAAGTTGTACTCTTCGGTATCCCAGAAGAACCAAGTTAAAAATCACACTTTCTGGTTCTCCATGCTGGGGTTGCTGGCACAAGGAAGTGTGTGAAAGCTCTTGTTCATGGAGATGACCTGAGGACTCTCCCTGGCACCCAAGCTTCTGATCCTTTCACCCCTGGAACCAAGTCACTGGATTATAGCCTGACCACAAACAATTTAGACACAAATCCCATCGAGAAAGGGAATTTTAAAATTCCTGGTTAGATCCTGAGAATCTTTGGGACCTTAGGTATAAACTCCTTCTGGGATGTCTCAGCCAACAGGCTCTTCCCTAAATGGGGAAATGGGGCCGCTCCCAGGCCAGCCAGCAAAACCTGGTGGGTTTTCATAAATCAGAGATGTTCCAAAAAGTTGACCTGAGAGCCCTGGAAGGTTGGTTTTGGTGGTAATACTGTACTTACTACTTTATTTCTAGATCGCAGCCAAAATTGGAGGTGATGCTGCTACAACCGTGAATAACAGCACTCCCGATTTTGGTTTTGGGGGCCAAAAGAGACAGTTGGAAGATGGAGGTAACTCCCACTGCTGCTTTTAGCTTGGGAGGAAGGGCTGGGGTTGGGGGGCTTTTGTTTGTGGTCAGGGGACTCTGCTATTTGTCTTCTAAAACCTCAGCAATCCCAGCTTTGTTCATTCTTTTTGTTCAGTCTGCCATCCTGAGGTATCAGGTGGCTGAGAGGAGGGCAGATTGATTGTGATTAGGTTGAAGTTGTAAGTTCCCGAGATCATTCCTCCCCTTCTGGGAGGCTGGGGAAACGTGCAGTAGGTTAAAGTCTGGCCTGCTCTAGAGCAGGCAGCATTACCCAGAGTAGCCAGGGATCAACTCTAGATCAACTCTATTTTTATCCAGCCCCCACCCCAGAGGCAGGTCCAGTCCTAAACTGGAAGGACTTGGGGGCACCATCATTGTTCACTAGTTATAAAGGGCTTTTTACTGAGTGTTGGTAGCGGGATTGACCAAGCCTGGCCCACCTCGGGGTTGCTCTTGGCCACGCTCCTGCTCTCATTTTGGGGGTGTGGGAAGAGGGGACTGTTTACCCGGGACATGTGGCATGAGTGTTGGGTTTGAGGCAGGCGTGGGTGGGTGGGTGCTGGGTCTGACGTCCTCTGTCTTTCACAGATCAGCCGGAGAGCAAGAAGCTGGCTTCCCAGGGAGACTGTAAGTCCATTCAGCGATGCAGGCGGAGGGCAGCTTCTGGGTATTGAGGGTTTTAGGAGTTGGGAGCTAGAAGCACTGAAGAGACAGCAGCTCTCCTTTGTGGAGGCTCCTGGTGTTTGTAATCTGGGGCTCACGAGTTTTAGAGGTCCCAGAACATTCACAGTGCTCACCAGGTGCTTGGGCAGGCTCAGAATTGCTGTGGTAAGCACCAGGTGCCCCTTGTGGGGGGCAGAGATACCTTGGGGCAGGCAGTGTTGGGGTGCTCAGACAGGAGCTAAGGTAGTCTTTCCTTTGGGTTTCTCTTTGCAGCAATCAGTTCTCAGCTTGGACCCATCCATCCTCCTCCGAGGTAAGTTGTGGTTTGGAGAACATGTTGGTTCCTCAGCTGACTGGCCTTTCATACTGACTTGGGAGAGCATTCTATCTGGGGGCTGCACCATTAGGATTTTATCTCCTGTTGCTGGTTGACCAGAAAGTGCACAGACAGGGCCAAAAGGAGCTGCATTCATTCCTTGTACCAACCTGTCTATGGGGAACAATCCGCTGTGACGTTGGAAGGGCGGTCTCTTGTTGCCTCCTCCACAGGGGGACACTCAGACATCTGTCTTCCTAGAAAAGACTGGGGAAGGGCCTTGATGTTCTCTTGTGCGTCTTCTGCAAATTTCTTGTTCCACTGGTGTTGGTAGAGCCTGGGGGTCTTTGCTGCCTCTTTGCCACACTAGGTAGACTTAGGTGAATCTCACATGGGTGGTTTGTGAAGGGCCACCATTGATCTTTTTTTCTTTAATGGGTCAGTAGTTTTGTAAGATTCAGTAAAAACTATTTACTAGAAAAATCAAATGAATAGGATACACACCAACTTTTTTCTGTTATTAGAGTCAACAGTAAAATGACTGTTAGATTGCTGGAAAAGTGTCAGAGTGCTTGCTCTCACTTTGAACTGGTGGGACTGTACCGGCCATGGGCCTCACTCCCCAGACCAAGCCTCTCTCGGTGCAGATGTGGAAACCAAGGCCTTGAGAGGTGGTGTGACCCACAGTGGAGAAAGGGAGCCCTGTCTGTAGTCAGACTGCTTAGGCATGTGGGGTCTTGGCCCCATGTTGTAGGAAGCGGGTCTGCAGCCAGAAGCATCCAGGGCCCTCCAGGGCAGGGGTTGTGTCTTCAAGTTACCTTCTAGGTCTTCCATTCTCTTCCTTTCCCACTTGAGACTGACTTTCAGTGTCTCTCTTTGCAGGACTTCAATGACAGAAGAGTACAGGGTCCCAGATGGCATGGTGGGCTTAAGTAAGTGTGGGTCACCTTGATCAGGGAGGCTCATTATCCCCCCCTTTGCAGGGACAGTGTCCTGTGAGCCCTGCCAGCCCAGCAGTCCTGGTTCAAGAGGGACTCCTGTGTCCTGCTGTCACTTGTTCCTCCATCCCTCTGGGGGGAGGACAGGGAGCTCTCAGAATGGCTGCTGCCCTCGTTATTACCACCGGGGCCAACGACCCGTGCCACCCCTGGGCTCTCTCAGACAATCACAGCTTTTCTCCTTTTTTCTCCACCTAGTCATTGGCAGAGGAGGCGAACAAATTAACAAAATCCAACAGGATTCAGGCTGCAAAGTACAGATTTCTCCAGGTATGAGATTCCTGCCGGAGTGGGGGCTGGGCTCAGGTCGGGTTCTTTGCACGTTCCATTAATCACTAACTTTTGGCAAGACTGCATAGAAGTAAGGTGGACTGGTTTTTGGTGGTGGTTACTGTGCATCTGGCTCAGCGCAGCATCTCAACTAGTATAGTGCATTGATGTGTAGCTGCGACGCTTTTTTTCTTTTTACGGTTGTGGGAGACATACTGAAGTGGAAGGTCTAGAATTGAGCACAGGATACTCCATAACAGTCACCTTGTTCAGAACCATTATGTTAACTTGCCACCTATATGAAACATTCTCTCGTTGGGACAGGGCCATCCGTGAGGCAGGTGATGTGTCAGAAAGAATGATAGCTTTGAGGCCAGGCCCGATTTAAATCCCAGTTCTGGCTGTGCATCTGATCTCAGACAAGTTGTTTTACTTCCTTGGAAGTCAGATGCCTGAGCTGCAACACGCTTGCTTGGCAATGTGAAGCACATTGACTATAGAAGAAGCTTATGTGGTCAGCAGTGGTAGTGCAGATGGCCCAGGTTTGGGACTTTCTGGAATCTGCCTCTCTCTTCTCCTCATCTTTTTCCTAAAAACTTCTCCCTGCATTACTGGATTTGAAGATTTCTGACCTTGGCTTTGCATTGAGCAACCTCCTAGGTGTTTGGGTGGGTAAATTGACTTGTCAGGCTGCCAGGTGGCAATGCATAGTGGCCATGGGTTCTAGAAGTTTCCTCATCTCCATGGCGGGCCTTTTTGTGCCCACAGGCCAGGGAGGGCACTGACCCTATCTCCTCTTCTCTCCAGACAGCGGTGGCCTGCCTGAGCGCAGTGTGTCCTTGACGGGAGCCCCAGAATCTGTCCAGTAAGTCCCCTCCTGGGCCTCTCATTGGGACGAGGAGAGCAGGCAGAAGACCTCTTGGTCCCTTTGAAAACTGGGGATGACTTCCACCCCATGGCTGTACTGGCAGGTTGATTCCCCAGAATCCTGAGATCTGGGAGACCTCTGGGCCGAATAGCACCAGTCCTAGCGACTGGCCCCTCTTCCTCGTCATCTGTCAGATACACTTGTTGGGGTCGCCATCACTGTGAGCTGGGTAGGGCCACCAGACGAGTACCCTTTCTCAAGTGGTGTCACTTCATCCTCCCCTTCCCAGGAAAGCGAAGATGATGCTGGATGACATTGTATCTCGGGGTCGTGGGGGTCCCCCAGGACAGTTCCATGACAATGCCAATGGGGGCCAGAACGGCACTGTGCAGGAGATCATGATCCCTGCCGGGAAGGCTGGTCTGGTCATCGGCAAAGGCGGGGAGACAATTAAGCAGCTGCAGGTGAGTTGTGGCCCCGGGGACAGGTGGCTCCTTCTACCCCACAGAGTTTCCCCTCCTGTTTATGTGCGCGCACACCCCACTAGCCTCTTTGCAGAGGCTTTTATCCTTTAAGCTACACATGCTCCCCATCTGCACAACCCCCAGAAGTTCTGTGAAAGCCCAGCACTGACTGTTAACTTTGGTTGTAAAGGAACGAGCCGGAGTGAAGATGATTTTAATTCAGGACGGTTCGCAGAACACAAATGTGGACAAGCCTCTGCGGATCATTGGGGATCCTTATAAAGTGCAGGTGAGCATGCCCCAGGGTGGTGGTGGGTTCTGGAGAGGGGCCAGTGGAGCTGGTAGCCTGGGGTCTGTGTTCACTAGAGATCTGTGTGAACATGCGAAAGATGGAGAGGTTTTCAAGAGCACTGGCTTTGAAGTCAGCCCTGACCTCTTGTTTCGGTGCTGGGCTATCTCCCAGCTGAGTGTGCGCAGGCAAGCGATCTCAGCTCTGACCTTCTGTTTGTTTATCTGGAAAACGGGGCTGCTGACAGTGCCTGCCCGTTGGGGCAGCAGATAGATAGTTCTGCAGGGTTCTGTGTCCAGCACAGCAAAGCCTTGTCAGTTCTTACTGAGACTGGTGTCCTTTTGGGCATGGGTGGCTGGACAGGCACTGTGGGGCTGCAGGACTTGCCCATGTAGACTGTGCCATGTGTGTTCACAGCAAGCCTGTGAGATGGTGATGGATATCCTCCGAGAACGCGACCAAGGAGGCTTTGGGGACCGGAATGAATATGGGTCTCGGATTGGCGGGGGCATCGATGTGAGTGTGGATGGAGGGCTGGGGGCGGGGCGGATTTCTCTCCTGGCCAGAGGGAATCAAAGCTGCGGGATGAGCCCCAGGGTGACCCTTCAGCCTCCCTTCCTCCTCAGGTGCCAGTGCCCAGGCATTCTGTCGGTGTGGTCATTGGCCGGAGTGGAGAGATGATCAAGAAGATTCAGAATGATGCTGGTGTGCGGATACAGTTTAAACAAGGTCAGGGGCCTAGCCCAAAAGATGGCAGGGCAGGATGGGTATGTCTGCTAGCCAGATCAGTTGTTCCGTCACTGGATCCATTATAGCCAGTGGAACCCCTGCCACCTGCCCCCTACCCGGCCATCTGCCCTCCCTTGGGAGGCGAGTTCAGGCAGCTTGCACTGCAGTTGGTCTTTTCAGCCTCTTTGGAGTGCTTCCTTGCTCCTGGTCTAGTCATCGCGGTTGGTGATATGTGGTCTTTCCAAGTCCAGAGGGACTGTATCTTCCTGTCCCCATCAAATGGCCCATCCTGGCAGGGCAGCCTGGGCACCCAGTGGGCTGGGTCAGATCACTACACCAACCCAAGGCTCTTGCCAGTCCTCAGTGAGAGGCTTTGAGCACCACATCTGTGGGAAAGAGGGACCCCTGTGTTGCTTTTCAGAGATTTGTTGTTCTGTAAAATTTAGTTAGTTCTGGGGGTGCCAAATGTAGGAAGGAGCCTCAGCTGCTACCCCAGCTTGGCAGATTGGTTTCCTTCTAGGAGAATGTGGGCCTGCCTCCTTCCCCGTTCCTGCGTAAGTGGAGTTTGGGGAGCAGCTCTTTTGAGTCTGAGATATGACACATCTGGCTTGGCACTATGTCTGCCCTGAAGAGGCGATATTGCAGGAGTTTGGAGTTTTGCTTTTCTTTTAAATCAGTTTCTCTGCTCTCTTGGTGCTGGCCTCAGATGATGGCACAGGTCCTGAGAAGATAGCTCACATAATGGGACCCCCAGACCGATGTGAGCATGCGGCCCGGATTATCAATGACCTCCTCCAGAGCCTCAGGGTAGGTGGCCTTGGGTACACTGAGAAGGACTGGTGGTGGGGGCTGGCCTAGCCCTTCCAGGGACGTTCAGGGACCAGGATGGCTTCCTGTGTTCATCCTTCTCCTTCCTGTCTTGCAGAGCGGCCCCCCAGGTCCTCCAGGGGGTCCCGGCATGCCTCCGGGGGGCCGAGGCCGAGGAAGAGGCCAAGGCAACTGGGGCCCTCCTGGCGGGGAGATGACATTCTCCATCCCTACTCATAAGTGTGGGCTAGTTATCGGCAGAGGTAAGTGTGGCCCTTGTACGTGCTGCGTTCCTCACCTCTGTCCTCCGCCCTCCCTTCATTGTCCACTGTTCTCTGCAGGTGGTGAGAATGTGAAAGCCATAAACCAGCAGACAGGCGCCTTTGTAGAGATCTCCCGCCAGCTGCCACCCAACGGGGACCCCAACTTCAAATTGTTCATCATCCGGGGCTCACCCCAGCAGATCGACCATGCCAAGCAGCTCATCGAGGAGAAGATTGAGGTGGGCTCAGGGAGGGGTTCTGGAAGCCTGGGTCCACACTCCCATCTCCCACCCACTCACCTCGTCTGCTTTTCTTCCTTCCCTCAAGGGTCCTCTCTGCCCCGTTGGACCAGGCCCTGGGGGACCAGGCCCTGCTGGCCCGATGGGGCCCTTCAACCCTGGGCCCTTCAATCAGGGGCCACCAGGGGCTCCCCCTCAGTGAGTGTTCCTCTCAGCTTCCTGGGGTTTGGGACGTGGGGGGGTCACCATGCTGGCAAGAAGAGCTACAGGCCCATTTCCCTTTGTCACTGAGAGAAGTCCTCCACCTCTCAGAAATGCTGGCAGTTGGGGTTCAGACTGGCCTGTTTTATAGATGCTATTAGTCTCCACCTCGTGTGTGTATAAAGTACATACTGTTTCAGAGGCGTCATCCATACTTAGAATTTTGGTGGTTTCTGGTTCATGTCCCTGAGCAATCGTAGTCCGTGTCCCTTATGTCATTAGTAGTTATGTGCCTTTGCCAGGCACCCCATGGAGTCTGGTGGTCTGGGCCTTTGGCCCCCATTCCTGCAGCTGTCCCTGCCCCTCTGGTGGCATAGCTCCAGTCACACCAGCAGAGCCACTCACCTGTTCCCTCCTCTTTCTCGCCCTGCAGTGCCGGTGGCCCCCCTCCTCACCAGTACCCACCCCAGGGCTGGGGCAATACCTACCCCCAGTGGCAGCCCCCTGCTCCTCATGACCCAAGTAAGTGACAGGCTGACCAGGGAGGATGGGGCCTGGCAATTGTGCCCATCCCCTCAGCCCCATCCTTTTCTTCCTACAGATAAAGCAGCTGCAGCAGCCGCAGACCCCAACGCTGCCTGGGCCGCCTACTATTCACACTACTACCAGCAGCCCCCGGGCCCAGTGCCGGGCCCAGCACCAGCCCCTGCGGCCCCACCCACTCAGGGTGAGCCCCCTCAGCCCCCACCCACCGGCCAGTCGGACTACACTAAGGCCTGGGAGGAGTATTACAAAAAGATCGGTGAGTCTGCAGTGTGGCCAGAGGTGGGGGGCCTCCAGTCCCATCTTAGAGCGGTGTCCTCTGACCTTTCTCATCCCCCATAGGCCAGCAGCCCCAGCAGCCTGGAGCACCCCCACAGCAGGACTACACGAAGGCCTGGGAAGAATACTACAAGAAGCAGGGTGAGCGGGTGGCCCGGGGAGGAGGGCAGGCCGCAGGCAGCTCCTGCCCCACAGCTGCTCACCAGCTCCCCACTCCACCCACAGCGCAAGTGGCCACCGGAGGGGGCCCGGGAGCGCCCCCAGGCTCCCAGCCAGACTACAGTGCCGCCTGGGCTGAATATTACAGACAACAGGCTGCTTACTACGGACAGACTCCAGGTCCTGGCGGCCCCCAGCCACCTCCCACACAGCAGGGACAGCAGCAGGCAAGTGGGAATTGCCACCCTCCTCCTCCTCCTTTTTCCTTCCAACCCCCGGCCACCGTCCATCCTGCCTTAGTGGGTAGCGCCGGAAATCCCTTCCCCTGCGGGGTGTGCCCTTGATGCCGCAGCGGGGGCCATGTGGCCAGAGGTCTCCGGGAGTCCCCACGCGCCCGCCGGGGAAGTGTACGCTGGGTCCAGAGGTTGAAGGAAGAGGCCTCCCTCCGCCAGCTGCTTGTTCCTGTGTAACGCTGCCGTGATGCTGGGGGAGCTTGAAACAAACAGGTGGAACTTGTGGACTGGTGGGTAGTCCTGGGGGGAGGGGAGGGCGGCAAACAGCACAGAGGTTGGTCGCCGTCCCAGCAGCTCACTCAGAATCTGGCCACTTGGGAAGAAAATGTCTTATTTCCCCCCCCCCCCCTTCTGCATCACTATTTTGGTTTTCGTTCTTTTTATTCTTTTATTTTTTAAACCCATGATCTCTTTCCCCCATGTCCAAGTGACTCTGTGCTGCAGGCGGCCCTGGCTTTGGCAGGGCTGAGGGACCAGCCCTGGGGCCCCCGCCCTGGCTCGGCCTCCTCTGTCCTCGCGCTCGCCTCTGTGTCCCGGTCTTGTCTGTGAAGTGGGCATGACGATCGTTGCCACCTTCCAACCTACCTCACAGGGGTGTTGTGGGGACACCGTGATCTCTGAAATTGTTGATGTTGTGATGCGCCGGGAGCTGCCCACCGTCCTGAAGACACAGGGCACCCCTCCTCCCCTCCAGACTCTGAGCGCGCTTCTCTCTGCCTCTCCCCCTCTCTGTGGCCTGCTTCTCTCTTCCTGGCTGTCCTTCCTCCTCCTCTTCCTCCTCCTCCTCCTCCCATCAGGAGCAGAGTCTGACTTCTGCTGAGCCCCTGTAAGCACTTGACCAGACAGTTCACAAACATACATCCTTCCAGCCTGAGCCAGCCACAGGTTCGGGAGAGGGGCATCCCGGCCCCCTCCCTCCACCCTCCTCTCTTCCACCAACACCTCTAGTCTCCCACGCCCTCCCTCCCCTGCCCGTAGTGACCGATGCCTATCTCTTCCCTCTCCGCAGGCTCAATGAATCGAATGAATGTGAACTTCTTCATCTGTGAAAAATCTTTATTTTTTTCCACTTTGTTTTGTTTGGGGGCTGTTTGGTTTTTTTTTTTTTTTTTTTTTTTTTTTTTAGGGCTTTTTTTTTTTGGTTCTGTTTTTTCCCATTTGTTTGGCGAGAGAGCGATGGCTGCCGTGGGGGGGTGTGGGGAGCCCTCCCTGGGAGCGGCTAATGGAGTGTGCTGGGCTCTCTCTCGTTCATCCTGTGTCTCACATACTTTTTCTTTCAAAATTGGGATCCTTCATGTTGAGCCAGCCATAGAAGATAGCGAGAACTAAATTTCTGCCAAAAAAAAAAATTTAAGAAATTAAAAACACAAAGAGCAAAATAAAACCTATAAAATTATATATATATATAAAAATCTCTATACATACCCCCACCCCATTCCCAGCCTTCCCAAAACTGCCTCTTTGAGGGTAAAGCAATTCATTTTCTCCCTGCCACCCTTGGCCCTCTTCTTGTTTTTAAAATAAACTTTAAAAAGGAAAAAAAAGTCACTCTTGCTATTTCTTTTTTTTTAGTTAGGGTTGGAACATTCCTTGGACAAGGTGTTGGCATTGCAGGACCCCTCCCCCCATCAGCCCAGCCTCAGTCTCTCCTCCTCCTCTTCCTCCTCTTCCTCTCGCTCTTCCTTCCACTCCAGCTCAGCTCCTCGCGGCCCCCCTGCCCCCCACTCCCAGGACTGGTCTGATCTGTTGTCTTTTCATCTGTTCAAGAGATTGAAAACAAAATGAGAACAAAACAAAAAAATATTGTACGGCAGTTTTTACTTTTTATCGCTCGTTTTTAACTTCACAAATAAATGATAACAAAACCTCCCCGTGTCTGCCGGGTGCTGTCTGTCTCTATATCTCTTTCTGTCTCTGTCTCTCTTTCTCCCCCCACTAGAGTTTGGAAGCAGATGTTTGTTCTTTATAGATGTTGTAAAAAAGCCTGATAATGGTGATTGGAAATTATAAGCTTTGTGTTGTGTTTGTTTTTCTTTTTTCCTAAAAGAAGCAAATATAAAATAGTTTTCTGCAGGCACATTGTGCTTTCTGAACTCTTCCTTTTTTTTTTTTTTTTTTGGTTAAATAAAGTGCTTTTTGTTTAAAAAAAAAGAAAAAAGAAAAAAAACTGCGTGCTGCCGCAGTTGTGTTTGTGGAGGAAACATGCTGAAGAGGAACAAGGCTTAGCCAGTGAGACTAGGGTGTGGTCGCCCAAGACTTTGCTGCCCTTCTGGTGTACAGAGGGGACAGCAGGCTGAGCCACGTAGTGCTGTCTTCCCCCACCCCACTTTCCCTCTGGGGCTTGGGGAGCGAGGCACCCAGGAGGGTCCCCAGGGACAGGTGTTCCCATGGATGCAGCCACACAGCAAAGCCATGCACTGCGCCTCACAGGAGTCAGCCTGTTCTGTTAACCCTGAGGTGGAAACCTAGCCTGTGCCAATACTGGGTGGCAGGCCACAGCTTCCCAAGAGGACACTTGAGGGGCTGCTTGAGCTATCTTGGCCCAGGGTGAACACCTTGAGGCATGCTGGACAGCTGAGGGTCTCTGAGATTACAGTTGAATATCAACGTTGAAAAATCAGGTTTCACAATCAAAATCTGGATGCCTGGGCCTGCAGGGAGCAGGAGCTGGTAATAGCTGCTGCCTCTAGGTGGGGATGTTTCCAGGTCCTGTGGCCTCTTCTGCATGCATCAGGCACCTGCCCAGGCAGGTATGTTTGCTGGTAGCCCTTGGTCAACCCACCTGGTGGGGAAGCCGCTGCTGTGAGGTCACGGACATCGTCCCGCCTTGCTGAGGTCTCCCCCCTCACAGGCGCACACTCCCTCCTGAGAGCTGTACAGTTCTAGGGCAAGGCCAAGCCCCCAGCCCCTCCCATCTCACTGCAGACTTTCAATGACAGAGCAGCACTTGGCGAAAATGTTCTCTGGCGCTTCTTCTGCCAGGATCTGGAGGGGGAGCTGCAGGTCAGGTCAAAGTCCCAGGGCAGGGTCACCACCCTCTCCCTCAGATGGGCCTGGGAAACAGGCTCATAGGGCCAAGGTGCCATGCCAGGGCCATGCAAGTGAGGCCAGAGAGGAGTGGGTCAGGAAGGGTAGGAAAGCCAGCAGTGGTGTGCAGAGATGCTGTGCCTTGGACCAGGCCACGGGAGGGAGGGAAGGGTGTGCAGGGAGTTGCCCACTGGCCACCCCATCCCCTGCCTGTGTGAGCCAGAGCTGGGCTCATGGAGCATCACTGTCCCCCTGATTCTGGCACTTCTCAGGTGCTCATAAGGGATGGGGATGTTGCCAGAGTTCTTTCATCTTCCTAACAGTGAAAAGGACAGGAACTGGGTGGGGCACCTTAAGAACGTTAAGCTATCCCACTTTGCACCTTGAGGATACACATGCCTAGATTTGAGTGGCACTGGGGTTTAGGTTCTAAAATGTGTTTACTTCTGCAGTACCTTGGAGCCAGTCACATTCAGACCTTAAATTTCCCCTGCCCGTGGGTGACAGCCTGCGCCTGTGTTGCCACTCAGAGGAAGTGGGATCTCCCAGCAAACACAGAAAAGGGAAAGTTGTCCCCATATGACCCTTGTCCCAGCCAGGGGTCTGGGGTGCTACAAAGGACAAACGGAGTACCTACGTTTCGGAGCAGGTTCTTCTGCTGGTAGAAGGTCAGGACAGGCTCACATGAGGTGAAGTGTGTCTCCAGGCGCTGGCGGATGGTCAACTCCGAGTCATCAGCCCGGTGCTCCACCAGGCCCCGGTGCAGCACTCGCTGGACCATCGTCTCCATGGAACAGTCAAACACGATGACGACGTTGGGGGCCCGGCCCACCTAGCAGCCAACCAAGGGGGACTGGGTAGGGAAGGGGCCAAGCACGGTGGCCCCTGCACCCCAGCTCCCCCAGAGAGCAGAAGTCTAGGATCTCGTGGGCTGGTAAAAAAAAACAGGCCTCCTTGGCCTATTTCATTATTTCAGTTCATTTCACATATCTATGTATTTGTTTGTTTTTTATTTTTATTTTTAATAAGATGACCAGTAAGGGGAATCTTAATTCTTGGCTTGATATTGTCAGCACCACGCTCAGCCAGTGAGCGAATCGGCCATCCCTACATAGGGATCCGAACCCATGGCCTTGGTGTTATCAGCACCGCACCCTCCCGAGTGAGCCACGGGCCAGCCCTACACATATTTATTTTGGGGAGCGGTAGAATGGGACATTTGCAGAGCGCCTAAGACAACACACAGGAGAGAATGAAGCGTCTCCTCACTGTCACCAGCCTCCCAGGTTCCTCCCTGGAGGCAGCTGAGTTACCTGCTCCTGGTGTCTCCTTCCTGAGCTATTTTAGACATAGGCGGTATTCTGACATTCTTTTCCTCTTTTTTTATATACAGATGGTAAATACAATGATATGCCCGAGTTTATGGATTTAGTAGAGCTGGAGATGATTCCATATTGGCGCATAGGCGTTTCCTGATTTCTTTTTAACCATTATATGGTGTTCCGTCATATGGATGTACCATGACAACATAACTGTTTGATGTATGGGTATTTAGGTTGAGGTATTCCTTTTGAGATTGATGTAAGCAGTCTTGAGTTGCCTTTCTTCTGCCCAGATAGTCTGACTGGGGAAGGTAGGAGAGCCCCTGCTCTCTCCTGCCCACGCCACAACTCTGCCCTCTGCCTGGACCCACCTGAGGGAGGCCACCCCTGTGAGCCCCACCTCATTCCTCCAGAGTGTCCTCGCAGCATACAATCCAGCAGCACATTAAAAACATAACATATCTAACAACCAAGTGGGATTCATTTCAGGAAAGCAGAGTGGTTCAGTACAACTTACTATATTAGCATCCAGCATCTATTAGCAAAATCTTAAGGAAAATCTTTAAGGAAAACTTTAAAAGTGAGATATTTCTCTGTCTCTAAAGGAGACTTGAAGGAAAAACACACACACACACAATCATCATTAACACAGAAAGGGCAATTGACAAAATTCAGCACACATTCCTAATTTAAAACATGCTGCCAGTAATTTCTGAGTATTTCTTCAGTCATCATCTTACTTGATGGGGAAATTTTGGCTTTCCCACTAAAGTCAGGAACAAGACAAGGTTGCCCACTCCTGCCACTCTGACTTAGGCAGGTGTGAGGGGATTTGCTAAAGCAATGAGATGAAAAAAAGCAATTCAAGAAATCAGAAGTGGGAAGAAATTAGTAACACCATGTCTATTTACAGACGATATGATTATATTTCTGGAAAACCCAAAAAGTAACACATCAGCTAGTACAGACTTAAGGGAATTTGATAAAGTAACAGGATATAGAGTTAACAGAAGTCAATATCCTATACAACATGTATACAAAAATCACCAGTTAGAAAAAGAGGTCCCATCTACAACAGCAACAGAAATCAAATATGAAACACCCAGGCGAAACTTTTCCAAATGTGTGCAAAATCTTAAGGAAAAATTTTAAGGGAAACCTAAAAAATAAGGGCTGGCCGGTTGGCTCACTTGGGAGAGCATGGTGCTGCTAACACCAAGGTCAAGGGTTGGGATCCCCATACCAGCCAGCTGCCAAACAATAAACAAGCAAATAAATTAAAAAATTTTAAAAATAAGTTATTCCTAAGTGACTCAAAAGGAGACTTGAACAAAAACGTCATGTAAATATTCTTAGGAAGGTGACATTATAAAGGAGCAAAGTCTTCCTAAACTAGTTAGTAACTTCAATGTGATCCTAATCTGATAAGAACATGTTTTTTCACTGGAGCTAAGTTGATTCTAACATTTATGTACAAAAATAAGCAGAAGGGCCAGGAGATCCTTGGAAGAAAAAAGAAATGGGTGGCGGGGGGCAAGGGAGGGGAGAAGTGAGTGTGGACATGGGACGGAATTTAAAGTCTGGAAACAGACCCAAGTGAATATGGAAGCTAAGTAGGTACATGGCTAGCGTGGCTGGTATCGTTAAGTCAGCGGGGAAAGGACAGTCTTTTAAATAAATGATCTTGGGACAACTGGACTAGATAGCAATTTGGAAAAATAAAATTGGATCCGTCCCTCATTCCATAAACTAGGATAAGTGCCCAAAGATCAGAGATATAAATGTAAGAAATAAGATTACTGTATCAGCCAGCTGCCAAAAAAGAAATAAAATCATAGAAAACCAATTTCCTTATAACCTAGGAGTTCAAAAAAATTGTGCCTCAAAATCCAGAAGCAGGGCCGGCCCGGTGGCGCACTGCTACACTGCGCCGCTTGGGAGCGCAGCGGCGCTCCCGCCGAGGGTTCGGATCCCACATACAGACCGGTTCCCGCTCACTGGCTGAGCGAGGGGCGGGCGCAGCACCGAGGGTTGCGATCCCGTTGCCGATCCCGGTCCCGGTCCCGGTCCGGTACAGGCGTGACACTGAGGGTTGCGGTCCGTTGCCGGACACGAAAAAAGACAAAAAGGAAAAAAAAAAAATCCAGAAGCAATAACAGAAAAGACTGATAAATGAACATTTTAAAAATAGTTTTTCTTTTTAATTGATATATAATAATGGTACATGTTTATGGGGTACAATGTGATGTTTTGATGCATGTTAAAAAATAACATTGTGACTGGCTGGTTAGCTCAGTTGGTTAAAGTATGGCATTATAACACCAAAGTCAAGGATTCGGGTCCCTGTACTGGCCAACCAACAAAAAAAAATAGTAAATTTGCAAAAAATATATAACTTCACGACATGGATGCTAAAAGAAAAAAGAAAGAAAGAACTTTTGCGGCAAAAAGACAATAAGCAAAGTCAAAAGATAATTGTCAGGGGTGGCCAGGAGCATGGAGTTCACAATACCAGGGTCAAGGGTTTGGATCCCTGGACCAGCCAGCCACCAATAAATAAATAAATAAATAATTGACAAACTGGGAAAAAGTATTTGCAACTCATATCACAAAAGGCTAACATCTCTAATATAAAGAGATCCTAAAAATGAAGAAGGAAAAAGCCAACAACCTGTTAGAAAAAAAAAAAAAAAAAAAAAAACGCAAAAGAAATAAAGAGGGAGTTCACAGAAGATATGAAAATTGCCCTGAAACTTTGAAGAAGAAGATAATGCTTCCTTGTAGTCAGAGAAATGCCCATTCATACTACACTGAAATACCATTCCTCACCTAAGGAGGTTGACAAAAATCCAAAAGTTTGGCAGCATCCCATCTTGGTGTGGCCTTGAGAAAATGGGCACTGTCATATACTGCTGGCGGCAGTGTAAAATGAAGAGGAATTTGGTGATATATAGCAAAATTATCTATGCATTTCTCTTTAATCCAATAATTTCACTCCTAAGACTCTTAAAGATACTCGCAAAAATATGAAATGACATACAAAGGTTATTCAGTGTGGCATCACTGGTAGTGGCAAAAGATTGGACATAACCTACTGACCATAGGACATTAGCATTTTGGGTTTTTCAACTTTTTTTTTTTTTGGCAGCTGGCCAGTGAGGGGATCCCAGCCCTTGACCTTGGTGTTATGACACCACATGCTAACCAATTGAGAAGCCAGCCCAGAGATTAGTTGAATATACATTGGCATGGCCACACAATGGAATACTGTGCAGCCATAAAAAGGAACAAAGAAAAAATAATAAAAAGGAAGGAGTAAGATCACTTGATGCTGATATGTGATCTTCAGGACACACTGCAAAGTGGAAAAAAAAAGTGAAAAATAGTAAACCTGTATAGAATGAGAAGGAAGGATACACACACAGAGACACATGCCTACTATATACAGCTATCTGCAAAAAGAAACACCAAAAAGACAAACCAAAAACTAATGAAAATGGTTGCCCAGGAGGGGGGAGCACAAGTTGGTGTGGAGGGGGATGGACAGGAATGAATGGAAACAAGATCTCTCTCTGGATACACCTTCTTATGTGGCTTTGACTTTGTAATCATGAAATAACTTACTCATTCAAAAATTAAATTTAGGGGCCAGCCCGTGGCTCACTCGGGAGAGTGTGGTGCTGATAACAGCAAGGCCATGGGTTTGGATCCCATATAGGGATGGCCGGTTTGGTCACTGGGTGAGCGTGGTGCTGACAACAGCAAGTCAAGGGTTGAGATCCCCTTACTGGTCATCTTTTAAAACAAAAACCAAAGAAACAAAAATTAAATTTAGGATGGGAAAAAAAATTTAGGCTGGCCAGTTGGTTCAGTTGGTTAGAGCACAGCCTTGTAACACCAAGGTCATGGGTTTGGATCCCTGTACTGGCCAGCCACCAAAAAAAAAAAAAATTTAGAAAAGCAATCCTTAAATATTTTAAGACCAAACTGAAACAAATGATTCTAATTGTAACCATTTCATAACATAATTCCACAAAGAAAATAATTATTTCAAGTGATCCGATACCTTTTTTTTTTTTTTTTTTTTTTGTCTTTTTCGTGACCGGTAAGTGAATCTCAACCCTTGGCTTGGTGTCGCCCGCACCGCACTCAGCCAGTGAGTGCACCGGCCAGTCCTATATAGAATCCGAACCCATGGCGGGAGCGTTGCTGCGCTCCCAGCGCCACACTCTCCCGAGTGTGCCATGGGGCTGGCCCATTTTTTTTTTTTTAAACAAGTATACCCTTGCCATGTATTTGGTCTATAAGTACAGTATAGTCATTGAGTTTACAAAATATTAAACATAAAGGGCCGACCCCATGGCCCACTCGGGAGAGTGCGGCGCTGGGAGGGCAGTGGCGCTCCCGCCGTGGGTTCGGATCCTATATAGGGATGACCGGTGTGCTCACTGGCTGAGTGCGGTGCGGGCGACACCAAGCCAAGGGTTGCGATCCCCTTACCGGTCACAAA